ATCGTGGTAAATAAGAGGACATACCACGCTAAACCATCGTAAATTTGTTTTTTACTACAAAACTCACAAAACTCTAGGAAATAGACTGCACGAAATCTTGCATGACGCCATTTGTTGGTATGGCCTCTTATTTACGACGTTTTTTAACCAATCAGCGCACGAGAAAATTTACAATTGTGGTAAAAAATAGAATAGATTAAATTATTGTTCATGTTGAAATATCAGCTTGATAGATATTACTAAGCACCAATCCTTTTTTTTTCCTTTTGTGTCGTTTGACCTGACAAAATATTTACTTAGTAATACAATGTCTCCATGTGGCACACCATGGAATATTGACTTAAGAAATTTAAAACACTGTTATGCCTGATGGGAAGAAATGATGGATTATTGCCAAATATACCACAGTTTTCCTGCATTTTGATTGGCTGTATTTTCATTGGTRTGGGATTTATAACAAAAATAAATAAATAAAATATACCCAATAATCTTAAAGTTTTACTTTATAGTTTTGGAATTACAGTGACAACACTTGAACCGTAAACACTTGGAGTTTGTTTTTTTTCCTTCAGATWACTATTTCCTTGACTTTCTACTGTTTCAAGCCCCATGAAACGTGAAGCATACACGACTTTCAAAAATGGCCGCCAGACTCGGTTGGGACTAGGGACAATTGCATGGAAGTGAGGTAAGTAAGGCCTCATTAGTATACAAAGTCTACTCAGTACGATATTTTGTGCCAAAGTCATTCATCTCACCAATTCTAGTTCTCTTACGCATCTTTTGAAATAAGGGTGAATGACTTTGACACAAAATATCGTACTGACTTTGTTTACTAATGAGGCCATACTTACCTTGCTTCCATTCAATTGTCCCTAGTCCCAACTGAGTTTGGCGGCCATTTTTGAAAGTTGTGTATTGAGTTTAAATACACCAAGTGATCAAAATAAATCATATTTCCAGTAGATTGGCTCAAGAGATGATTTTCAGTATGTATTTCAAAAATTTCAAAAATAAAACTTGAAGTGGTCACAGTTTGAGTATCCTCACTGTAACTGCCAACTGTTTTCCTAAATTTTCATTAAAAATTGACATTTATTGATCAAATTTTTCAAATTGATGGACCATACTTTAGAAAGCCTTTACAGCATTATCAAAAATACATTAGAAAAAATCTTTCGAAAAATAAAACCTTATTTTTCATGATTATTTATATTCAAAACATAGCGAAATGGGATTTTCTGAGCCCAAGTTACAGAAACATCTATTACACCGTGATTATAATGTATTCATGTATTGGAAGAGGGAAAGGGCAAGGAGAAGGCAAGATTTTAAATTGTATTTTTCATTGTTTSATGCTCTTATTTTATCCACAGATTATGTCTACAGCATCTTATTTGCAAGATTTTAGATTTTGCGGCGATATTTTTGGCTGTTGCTAATGTTGATGTTGTTTCTACTGCTGTTTGCTACTTCTGTTGTTGTTGCTGCTACTGTTGTTGTTGTTGTTGTTGTTGTTACTGCTCTTTCTTGTCGCTGCTACTGCTGCTGATACCACCGATGATTTTGTTGCTGTTCCTGTTGTTACTGCTGTCGATACTGTTAATGTTATCAGTGGTGGATCCAGGGGAGGGGTGCAGGGGGCGCACACCCCTCCCTGGTTCGACTTGCCCCTACTTCAAAGATTTAACCAATACAAAATAATGTTTTTTCCCTTGCATTCTAAGGGGTGCACCCCTCCCTGGGTTAACTATGTGCGCTACACCCCTCCCTGAACAAATTCCTGGATCCACCCCTGGTTATTGTCCACATGGTAGTAATGGCCAAGCCAAAGTTCCTTCATGTAACCTGTAATGTCTTAACACTTATTCAGACCATAACCTAATAACCTAGAATCCTAACCTCAAATATTTAGTCTTTTTATTTCAACAGCTCAACACAATTCATCAAAACTATAACAAATGGAAAAAGTACAAAATAATAACATCAAAGGAAACTCCTGTCTTCTAAACAATTGAATTAACACTATTAAGGTAGTACCTAAAAGCCTTGCTTGAACTAAGGCGAAGTGTACACCATTTAGTGTTAACAATGGACAATCAAGGACTTTAAAAGAACTGACTTTACCTCATACAATACCCCATAATGAAGAAAGGGGTGAAGATCTTTGGGTGTGGCTGCACCCCTTGGACACCTACTCTTGTGAGGAGRATTTTGTGTTAGTATTTAAAGGAAAAAAGCTGAATTATGTACAAAACAAACAAAATGGAAAACTTGATGTGAAAGTATGAAGGTTCTTGGTTACCTATAATAATTAGTGAAATAAAGTGTCTTTTTCTTAAAGTGCTCTTTACAGGATTGTGGACAATTTGTTCATCAAAACAATTGGATTAGATTAGAATTCGGTCTTATTTTCGCATTGTTTGTGTATAATATATACACAGCAGGTCAAACCCAACAGATACGACTTGAGAATATTGCAGTTCATGTCATTTGTGAGTTGCTTTTCAAGTCAAACCATTCCCAGAGTATTGTTATTGTATTTAGTAAATGTTGTATTTGTAGGCCTGAGCATTATTGTTTTTAGTAAATGTTATWTTTTAGGCCTCACAAACACTTGATTAAAACAGTTTTAAAAAGTTTGGTTTGGTCCTTTTCTTATATGCTATATAATTGCTTATATTATCCAAGGGGTTGTGGTGTGAGAGGGGACATGGCCACCACTGACATAGCACACAGTTGATGTAATGGAGTGCAAACAATATAACTGTGAAACTTTAGTAATACTAAATAGCACAATTTCATGCAAATTCCATTGTTTCCTATTGTTTAACTAGCACTATTTTGTACTATTTAGTAATTAGTGTTTTAYGGATTAATTGTTTGCACTCTATTGTATTCAGAAAATCTAGTGTATTCTGTTTAGTTCTATCTTTTGTATTAGATGTGATTCACTTTGTGTTTTTATACAGCTATTTCAAAAAAGGTTGAATACTGAATAGTGCATTCCAAGACCAAAGTGCATTGTGGGTCTCGTTAATTTGAAATAAAAAGTAAATATACAGCAATTAACTCTCTACATGTAGTGAGTATATTGTTTCAGATGGAATACACTAAAAATAGAATAAATAATTATTATTAATCCTACTTTAGACAATGTCACTATGACCCACGATGCCCTTTGGTCTTGGAATGCACTATTCAGTACCCAACTTTTTTTTGAAATAGCTGTAAATGCGTTACATCTAATGCTTGCTACGTAGGCTCTATCCACCTAACTTTCAAACCACTTATTTGATTAATTGTTCGTTTCATTGTAATTTATTWATTTATCAGTTTTACAGCCAAGGTCTCGAGCGGACGAATATACGAAAATCGAAATAAAAAATAACGGAATATACGAAAGAATTCAAAAAAACTTCAAAAATGAAATACAAAAAACAAAAATTTTTTAAAAAATTAATGGAATAGACTAAAAAAAATCGAAGACCGCTCCAAAATGGTTTTACTGGACCGGTTGGCCCTTAATATTGAAACATTAGGTCGAAATATAGAAAATTGAAACTTTAGTAACCGAATCTTGAGATGCAAAAGTTGGAACATGGATTTTTCACTGAACCCCTTGGAAGGGCCTCGAATATGCTTAATCCGACATAAAAGATGGCAGACAAGTGGATTTTTTCCCGGTTGATATTCACTTCAAAACAAGATATTCTTGTTTGTATTTAATAGTGCTTCGGTCTGGAATGGATGCAGTATCAAAAGTTTCTCAACTTTTTGATTTAAGGTTTTAGCCGCTGTGACAGCCGGAGAAACTCAAGAGTTTATTTTACAAGTCCTTTCCTGTACCGCGAAGAGCAATTATAAGGGAATGTATGAGCAGCAAACAGGATTTTTGACCCATTTTTTATAATATCGATAATCACTCCAAAACAGGATTTTCGTGACCGTATTTGTTAGTTAGTTGATTTCCGACAAGTAAAAATGAGTTGCAGAAAGAGGGAGTTGCATTTTTTAATGACCCCCTTACAAGGCTCTTTGTGTGGAATCCAACGAGAAAGATGGTAGACCAGGAGATAGGAGTCCAACCAAACCAAGGATTAATCCTCTTTCATTTCTATTGTTATCATCATACTATCTATCTGAAAAGGAAGCCAGATGTTAAAAATTTAATAAACTTTTTGATTTACGGTTGTAGCCGATGTACAGCCGGAGAAATTCAAGATTTTATTTTACAAGTTCTTCTCGGTACCGCGAAGAGCAATCATAAGGGAATGTATGGGCAGAAAACAGGATTTTTGACCCATTTTTTACCGGTTCGATATTCACTCCAAAACAAGATTTTCTTGGCCGTATTTGAAAGTTATTCGATTTTGGACAAGTAAAAATGAGATGAAAAGCTTGGAGGTTGCATTTTTTACTGACCCCTTTACAAGGTTCTCTGTGTGGAATCCAACAAGAAAGATGGTAGACAAGGGCGTAGAAGCACAACCAAACCATGGAGTAATCCTCTTTCATTTCTATCTGAAAAGGAAGTTAGATGATCAAAGTTTTCTTMACTTTTTGATTTAAGGTTATAGCTGATGTAGAGCCAGAGAAATTCAAGATTTTGGTTTAGCATTCCTCACCTATCTGATATCTATTATCGGGATAAAATGTCTCCAACTTCGTCTTAATCTAGTTGTTCGTCGCTTCGTCCATGATGAGTTTGGTGGTGAGAAATCCATCCTCATTAGCCTCGATTTAGTGTACGATTGCTTCGTGAAACAACAAACAGGAAAGATAAAGAATAACAGGGCTTAGCTTGTGATTGATTGGTGTGTTTTGAAGAAAAGACTATATCACGGGCGTAGAGTACTTTTCACGGCCCCCTCACAGCCCAATTTACATACATTTACTGTATTTTACATGTATCACTCTCCGCCTGGGATGTAGTCCTCATCCGTATCATGAATCTTTCACTATGAAAAACTACTTAAAGCTACTTTTTTAATTCCCAAAACTCAAAACATATGAAGAGATCATAACGAAGGGTACATTCTGTGTGACTGTGAAAAACTCAAGGTATAGACTAATCCAGTCTTTATAGTAGTAGTTATAAACTTGTTCTGCATTCACCGAGTCAGTTCTCATACTCACTACCAATGCAAATATTCCTGACCAATTTTTTTATCAGTTCGATCTTCTCTCCAAAACAAAATTTTCTTCATCGTATTTGATAGTTATTCGATTTCCGACAAGTAAAAATGAGATGCCAAAAGAAGAAGTGGCATTCAAGGGAATAGGAGCCCAACCGAACCATGGCTTTATCCTTTTTCATTTCTCTTGTTATCTTCATACTATCTATCTGAAGAAGGAGCCAGATGATCAAAGTTTTCTCAACTGATGTAGCTGATGTACAGCCGGAGAAATTCAAGATTTTATTTTACCATTCCTTTCCTTTACCCGAGGAGCAATTATAAGGGAATGTATGAGCAGAAAACAGGATTTTTGGCCATTTTTCCCCAGTTCGATATTCACTTCGAAACAAAATTTTGCTCTTTGCATTGAATAGTACTTCAATTTGGTACCAACGAATCCTCCAACATGAATGAGAAACTGGATGCTAATCTGCCGCTCAGAGTCAGCCCGTTACTCAATCTGCCGCTTACTCGCTCATATTCTGACAGACGAAAGTAAAAAAGATTGATCGAGTAGGTATAAGTTTCAGGTCACCCATCCAGGTAATGACCTCGCTCAACCGGACTTGACTCAGTGTCCTTGATGCATGCCCAAGCTTTTTTCCACTGGAAAAGGTGAATCTGCATAACAATAGTCGTDAAAACAATGCACCRAATAGACTAGACTTTTTAACADTATWTTTTCAACCGATTCCGTGCGTGGCAGAGATGCAAGGGATTAGCCGATATGGTCTGGGGGCCGGCTGGTCTCTCCCCTGATGCTTCGGCTAGAACATTTTCTTGCGTAATTCGTGCACCCAAGGGCAGAAGGATTTAATCGCCGTCAGGTCCGAAGTCCATACGMCGCCTCAGCTCTGCGGATGTCTCGGGGGTATGGCACATTAGAATCGATTTTTTGTTTGTTTTTTTTTTTGTTTTTTGTTTTGTTTTGTTTTGTTTTGTTTTTGTTTTGTTTTTGTTTTTGTTTGGTGAGCTTAGGTTCTATTCCCACCGTTTCATTTATTCGTTTTGTTTATTCGTTTTTCTTTAAATTTTTCATTGGATTCGTTGTTAATAGCGGAGCACCATGCTTAAGAAAAATAAGAAAAATTGGAAACCCATCGAGCAGGCCTGCGGTGAGTATCCGGACAGTAACATTTTGGTTTTCACCACGATGAAAGCTAGAAAATTACAACCTTTTTCATTAAAACGGTGCCTTCCCAACAATTAGTGTCATAAAAAGCCGTAAAATGATAACTGGGGGAGTAGTAGGACTGAGGTAATGCGTGTAAGCAGATAGGCTTGATTATAATTTCACTCATCGTCTAAACTCAAAACTTCAACTAAAGTTTCTTTTCACATTTACGCAAATTCCAACAAAACTTTCCTTCCGGGTTCTCGATGTACTTGCTGTTTAACGAGTTTGAAACTGATAATTTGCTGGTAATAAACTGTCCGTTGGTTAATAATAAAACTCGTTCCTGCAGCTTAATTCTCGTAGTGGTTCAGTTCTGTCAAAATCATTACCGGAAAGGACAACACATCGCCTCCATTTAGCGGCCAGCTCACTTGTGAGTAGAGTTTCTGGTCTCTCCCTTGATATAAAGATTTTTCTCCAGGTTCTCCGAATTTTCCTGCCTCCGTAACGCCTAACCCGCTTACGGTGTCCTGACTTAGGCTAAGACTAAACCAAATTCGCAACCGTGACTGACAGCAATGCACCAGATAGACTAGATAATTTCCTCTTCAAATGAGCGTGCGTTACAGATAGTGCAAGAGATTTGTAGCTCTATAGATATGGTCTGTTGGGAGTCGGCTAGTCTCTCTCCTAATGCACTGTCTTCGAACTAGAACATTATCCTGTATTTCCGCACACAAAGAGCAAAACTGACCAAATTTTCGTCAGGTATAAAGTCCATACGGCGCCTCAGCTTCTGTAAAAATCTTTGGAGTATAAAATGTTCAGCGATTTTATTTGAGAATTTTCAACTGAGTTCTTGGGAGATCGTATAATTTCAAATCCTCGAAGTTAAACAAGATTTTTTCTTCGAATTCTTCAGTCAATCCAGCCATTAATATTTCATCTGTATTACACTCTTTATTGTTTCATACGTTCAGCAAGAAATTTCTCAAAAAATTTATCTCAAATAATAATTCCAAACAAAAAAAACAAAAAATACAAAAAAAAAAAAAAATTCCCGGCATAATATTCTCAGCATGTAAAAAATTTTCTGTCAGGCATTTTACTGCACTTTTTTCGGTTTTATCTTCAAGTTTCCTCTATACTTTTGTATGTTTATATGTCACTCTAGTAAACTGTCGAATAAACAATTAAACACTCGTATACTCAAGTTTTAAGACAAAACTGGCAGATCTTTTTATTTGATAATGGCTAAAGCCTTACCTCTAGGCTCTTGAAAGGCGCCAATAATATCGTTTTCCGGCAAGCGCGCAAACTCAAATGTCTACCCTTTTTTACACTACATTGTTTATATTTCATTTCGTCTTAATATCAAATCTATTTTCATTCAGGGTTTTGTATTTTTGTTTTTTAATTTATAAAAATGCGATAATAAAGTATGAAAATAAAACAAGTCAATGTTCCCGATTTTTTCATTTCGTTTTGAGTCTTTATACAAAAACAGACCGAGCTGTTTTGATAAGTATGTTTGGGCTGACCTTCTGTATACCGTGGTGGTTAATCAACAAATTTCATCACTCTCTTACAATATGTTTTCATACAAAGTTCTAGGTTTTGTTCTACTTTAATTGCATCTCGTCTTTAACTCTACAAACAATCAGAGAGCTCACGATTAATCCGAGGTCTTACAATCCAAACAAAGACATGCCGTCAAAAGTTGAGATATGACAAAGTTACCGTACATTTTGTCTTTGAACTTTCGCTTTGACAGTTAATTCCTCTGTCAAAAATCACTAAGTTTTAACACGAATTTATTAACTATTGAAAATCATTTCCATTTTACGAGATTTCCAGGAGATTTCTAAGGTATTGTCAGGCTTCAGTTTGAAGAAAGTGTAAAAACGAAATTTATCTAATCTATCTAATCTATCTAATCTACTCTCAAGGTAATTGAATTCACACCTTTTAGTTTTTTGTTGTTGTATATTTATTAGTTTATGATTATGATTTTATTTCGTTTGAAAAAATCTTCATCTGAAGCTGAGGAATTCTATGAAGAAGACAGCTGTTCAAGTCCCACGGCCTTCGAATCATCTTGGATAATCTTCGTTCTTCTAGTCGTCCGTCACGTTAGGAAATCTTGGAGATCTACTAATACTGAAGTGAACGTGTGCACAGCAATTTGGACTGAAAGTTACACACTGAGCGAGCTTCCTATCATCTCTTTATCATTAAACTAAAGGTAATGATAGCATTGTTTCCCCTGCTTTTAGCTTCTAGTTCATTCTAACACTTGCTTTTAAAACAATTGGAATATTCTGGATATTTTTAGCCAAGTTTATAGTAACCAAAAAATGTGACCTTCATTTTATAATTTGCCCCCGAAGGCCTTCACTAGCTACAATCTTAACAAGATTTATTATACTATGTCTAGAATCTAGAGTTGCTTTTAATTAGCTTTGAAACCATTTATACTTGATGTCAGTTTAAATAACAAAGTAATTCTGTTCAAGTCTATAGGCGTTCAATGGGTGACGTTCTTTTCGCTCGTGATGAATATAAACACGTAGCTAATCAATTCATTGAGCAAATACCTGGGGCTGCATGGTCGTTTTATGAGTAGATGACTTTATCAACTTCAAATAAGATAATTATTCTTCAAAGTTACTTTAACAATTGAAGTAAGTGGATAAACTTGAAAAAATTACACCTTTTTTTTTTTTTTTTTTTTTTTTTTTTTNTTTTTTTTTTTTTTTTTTTTTTTTTTTGTCATTTAGTATAGAATAGAGGTCAAGAATACACGAAAAAAATTCGCATTTCGTAAACACCAGGAAAAAAACTAAAAAAGCTTTTCATCAGTTTGATAGCAACCATGACTTTAAGACGTATTTTTCTTAGTTGAGTCTGAAATCTTGTCAATGAATGTTATTCTTTATTCCTTTGACTTTTCTTATCTCAAATGCAAATATTTTTAAACGTCATTTTTTGACTTCAGACAATATTATTTTTCTTGAGTGCCGGCTTAGATCATGTTGTCCAAGGTCTGCTCAGCCTTTATCTCGCTAAATTATATATTTACTGAAGTTCCCTATTTAACTTAATTTAAATGGTGTCATAAACTTGAAGTTTACAACTTAAGATGTGGATCTTCCACTGGATGGAGTAAAATAAATGGAAATTAAGGCAAAATTAATTGCATTTTGTAAAGTTGCAAAAAGCATCCGCAAACCTCCCTGAAAAAAGTCAGTCATGGCCAATTTTTTAAATTTACTTTTTATATACAGTTGAATTCAATTCACGAAGACTTACAAAATGTTATCTAATGATAAATAAACTCACATCACATTATTTATGCAAAGGCGAAAAAAATGAACAAATTTCTGTATTATTTTCCATCTAAATGGATTGAGGAGGAAATAGACGAAAGCATATGTTTTAGTTCAGGAAAGCCAAACCCTAGCTGACAGTTTTAAATTCTTAAGAAAAACACTTAGTTGATGTTTGCAGGCAAAGTAAACCACGTTCTTTGCATTTTTGGATAGTTTTATGCATGAAGGCTTCAGTTACTGCGCAGAATTCTTTCGGCTGTATTTTTATTTTTGCGCAATAAATTAAAGCTGTCGAGAGCTGTAAAGTTCAACGACGTTAAATGTAAAAAAACGTCACTATTATTGATGTAACAGTTAAGCAGTAGAGTGGTTGTCTAACTTGTCGACTAATTATACGAAACTGCCAAAAAACTGACACTATCTATTCCATTAATACTTCCTTTTTAAATATTTTGAATCGTAAGCTTCCTGCTTTAGACTGAGGAACCTTAGTGAGTTCCTGCAAGAGTTTATTTTTTTTCTCAAAAAAGATTTTCTATCGTATACTAAAAAATTTTATTATACAAGTTTATTTCAGTCATGTTTACAACACAATTTATTGACTTATCATAGGTTTTTATTAGTTTTTTAGGTTGTTTATTCCGGAAAACATCTTCACAACAAAACAAAAACAAAGTCGGCTTTTAAGAACGTGATTTAAAGTTCTTGTTGATAGTACATTCTAACTTCATTTCCTAGAGTTGTAATCTATGTTTTTTATTGTCCATTATTCAACTCAGCGAGATCCCGTTAGACTCTTATCCGCGCACCGGCGCGATGTGATTAATCGCCTTCTTAAAACCCTATTCACGTCCTTAAAACAAATAATCCTCTAACGAGGTCAGTATTGTTGAACCACGTCCCAATTAAAAAAAGCTGACTTTAAAAACACCAAAATTGCAGGTAATTGGGTTACTTGTCGCCATAGAAGCCTTACAAGCCCAGCAAAACTTTACCAGAAAGCATTGTAGATGGTAAGAATGATTACAAGCAATTTTATAATTATAAGGGATAGACTGTCACGCTTTTTATACTTTCGAATATCGTAAATTAAATGAACTCGAAATCTAGAAGGAAAAAATGAGGATGTTTTTGTCACTAAAAGCCAAAAACAGCTGGTCTAATATAAAACAAATTGGGTCAGCATAAATATAGTGCTACAAACATGTAATATATATATTTCATTCTGTCAAAATAAGGCCAAGCTCACTAAAAATCCATTATGCTATCTTATGCTTGGTGTCTCAAATATTCATTAAATTTGTGCTTCTCTGATTGGTTAAAATTTATATATCTATTTCTAGTCAGTTTGAAATTCAGCGTATGATTGGCTCGAGCCCTTGCTTTCTGATTGGCTCAAAGTCTTGCTTTATGATTGGTTGTTACTAGAGCGCAGATCTATATCAGATGGTCCAAATCCTAAGAGCTCAGAAAGCTCTTTTTTTGGCCTGCTGCGAGTGAACAATTTTCGAGATTTTCATTTTTGCAAATATATTCCATAAAAAATAATCTTTTCATCTTCAATATTAGGTAAGTTAAACTTAGATTACACTATCTTCCCCAAAATCACCGCACATTCAAGGCAAATCAACACTGAGCCATTCAACCCGTGAGAAATTTTAATATAAATTAAATATTTGTTTCTTYGTTTTGAACAAACTTCACAATTCATCTCCGCAAGTGTGACTAAATTCCGTTGATCGTTCGCAAAACCAACTGTGCGATACTTATCGAGATTTAGTTTCTGCTCTTATCAAACACCGGTTAACGCCTGTGACGTATAAGACACCCCACTGGGAGTTTTACTTAATCATCTCTATTCTTTAAGCCGTTTTTTTCTCTTACCTTTTACAATATTGACACCAACCTCAAGCACAATCTAGCTCTTTCAAACACCAAATATGTAATTTTTTCCAATAAAGTGCCTTTTATTTTTTCGTTATTATTTTTCCTATCCTTTTTGTTATTTTCCCCGGCCATTTTTTCCTTAAGCACATTTACTAGATCTAGCGTTTTTTTCTGTCTGAATTTGTCCAACTTTTTTTTAGTGACACTTACCTAGAATTTTACTAACAAGTTTTTTGCATTTCCCTCATCAGGAATTAACACGTTTAATTATAAAATCTTAAATTTTTTCAATCATATACAATTGTCTCTTGTTATATTTACAAATAATCATTCACAACAAAACGACAAATACTTTTTAAAGTTTTAACAGTTTTGAAGCTGTTTTTGCCAAATTTTGTATATTTTTGCATGGAGAACAAAACCAAAGTTTAACATTTTCAAAACTGTCTTTTGCCTAATTTTGTATATTTTTTTCACGTACAGACTACAAAACCCCCGTTTGACGTAAGTAAATACCATGCCTTGATTTCAATACATAACGCACAGCATGACATTCAATAGTAAAGTTCAAACATAATTATCCTCAGCGGTTGGCATTTTACCTCCTTTTAGATCGCAGCTCATTTAGATAATCCTGTAGTATAGTTTAGTTCCTAAACTCTTGAGTTCCAATCAAGGCAGTTAAAACTGCAGAAGTTTTTCGATTCTCTGCCGGTAGCCAAGTCTGTTCGCATAAACCACATCACCAAATTATGAACTGAATGAGTGTGAGTACCGTAAATAGTTTTGATTTATTCCTAAGAAGATCAAAACATGTTATATATAATATATATTACTGCATTTGGGCTTCGCTTGAATTTTACGATATTCTATCCATGTTTTGCTCTTTCTAACCGCGTTATAACCAGCCGTTATTAATCTAGACAAATCAAGATGTGCAAGCAGGTTTATATTTTCAAGTTTTATATTGAACCGGCTTAGTTAAGCCAAGAGGTGTCTGCTATAAAATACGTATTTAAAGTGGTATTTGTTCAATATAAACTTCTTAATGTCAAAGTAAGATATAAAAAAAAAACTGAAGCTACTTGAAATAACTAACACATATCAAAACAATATACTACTTTTAAGCGTTTTTTTATACTCCTTTTAAGCGTTTTTTTTTTATGTTCCTTTTAAGCGTTTTCAAAACAATATACTCCTTTTAAGCGTTTTGTTATACTAAAATGCCAACTAAAAAGTTGTCTCCTAAACGGTACTTCGTGTTGTATTCTTGAAAGAGAAATGTTAGAATAAGAAAACAAAATCAAGCTGCTAGAAATTATTTTCAAAAAATGTAGTCTTTTTTAGGTGTTTTTGTTTGCTAAAATTAATTTATCAGAACCATTTAAATTAAAGAAATCTAGCTGAAGAATGAAAATTTTTAAGCAAGGCGGGAAAGCAGGGTGTGGTCGTAGAAATACGACGTTAGAATCTAAGTCGTAGTTTCTCCTTTTTGACTACGAATAAGTTGAATATGAAATCTTTAGGAAAATCAATTAAGTTTGTGAGCAATTAGGTTTAGGGATACTCCTCAATCAAGTTAAGGGTTACTTCTAAATCAGGCCGAGGGATAATCCAAAATTAGGTGAATACTCCAAAATCAGGTATAGGGATACTCAAAGTTTAGAGAGGGATACTCCTAGTTCAGACAAGAGATATTTCTATTCCTGCCGTATGTGACTGAGTTGTATAGAAGTCTGACGTGTTTGTTCTAGGCGCAGGATACGCACGATTCGCTTCTTGGTACTAATTTGAAAAATTGCTCCAGAAAACAAAGATTTTGCAAACTTTTTTAGTAGGCATGAATTTCAGGTCACCCATCCTGGTACTAACTTCCCTCAACCGGACTTGACTCAGTATCTTTGACGCCCAAGTTTTTCCCACTGGACCATGGTTCTACGGAATCAGCATAACAATAGGCCGTGAAAACAATGCACC